CACAAAATTCTCCAGTGTCTTCAAGACTTTTTGAAAGGCTGTCCAAAAGCATGCCGCACAGCATTTGACTTTCCCTTAATTTGTTTGGCTGGAGCATAGCTCTCGACACCTTTTCACTTAAATCCTCAAAGGTTCTGGATTTCCATGTGGCAATTGCAGCTGAGGAAATTGTGGCACACTTGCCAAATTGCTAAACCAATTATGACTGCCCAATTGATTAGGGACCTTCAATTATCACAAATTGAATCCCGATTTACAGCGAAGCCTAATCCAGCAAATAGAATATATTGCTGCCAAAGGTGTGGTCCTGCCAAAAGGATTCACTTTCAATTTAAGTCCTTCTCTTCTGCCCTGTGTGTGTTTTTTCCCCAGAGCTTTTTCAATTTACTAACGGAAATCCAGGCAGTAAAGCGCATTCAATCAACTGCTCCTAACTTTGTTGTGAGGTGGGATTTGGGATTGGAGGCTGGGTGGCATGGCCAACATTAAATTTATATGTCAATAAATCTCGAGGAGCAAAAGCCAAACGGCAAGTCATTGGCTTAGGCGGATGTGCGAGTAGTGCAGCCAGCCATTCCCATTCCCCGCCTGGCAAAACTTATTAGCCGACGCGTTTAAGGCCATTAAACCAAGTCAGGTGGCGTGGGGTCCTGCCACATACACGGCCATAAATCAGAGGGCCGACATGGCCAGCCATGGCCCACAGGTTGGCAGGGGCACTTTGGTGGTCCAGTGACAGTTTCCCGATACAAAGGATTAACATGGCAACTCAATAACACGGAACTGCTGCCCTAAGTTGACAGACTCTTGTAGAAACTCGTGCTAGATTTAATTGAGTGCCTGCAGCTTCGCTTTCCCCGAAAAATCGATTTGATTGCTTTGAAAACATAGCTGTCTTAAGCATAGCTAAATATTCGATATTTGCAAGGGATTTCTGGACATATATTGGATAAAAATGCACACACAGCTGCAGGAATGACTGTTTTGTGCAGTTTTGAATTAAATTAACTTTAATTTTGTTGCATTTTTTGTTGCGGGATTGCATCATCAAATTTTGCCAGAAAATCGTCTCAATTTTAAGTGTTTTGGCTGAGACGCCAATCGATTGGCAATTAAGTTACGAGCTCAACGAGGTATTCCATATTTGGCTTAGTTTTGGCATTGTTGTCTGAAACACTGCTATAATTTGGCAAAAAAGCTATGTTTTATTTAATATTTTACTGATAACTTGTGCAAAATAAGCCACACAACTTAAAACTATTGAAAAATGATACATTTTTTTAATTTTAGATGGTTTGGTAAGTGTGTAACATTATTAAAATCATTAAGATGTGCAATGGGAAGGCCGATCGACTAGAAATTCCAGTACGAGCTCGACGAGTTATGACATTCCATATTCGAACCATTTTGGAACTTCCTATTGGGAACTAAGCCACGTTTGACATGCAACAGCTTCACTACAATGCCACTTTAAGTTTGTTTCCATTTGCAGATGCACTTCGAGTACGCTTAAGCGCAATATTACTTCGAATCGGGCGGAATACCACTTCGTCCTTGGCAGTTTTCTGCTGCCACAACAAGCGGCTAATCGCACACATGTAAGCACACTTCTCAGGCTTTTCCACCCACTCATGTGTGTGCATACAGTTCATTTTCGCAGTGCGTATGCGTAATAATTCGTCACAGGTTTATGTGGCTTCTTGTGTGTCTGAGTGTGAGTGTGTGTGAGTGTGTGTGTGTTGTCGGTTGCTTGTTGGCTGCTGTGTTTGCCGGATTTAAGCGTTTGTGATTAATCAGACAGCCAGTTCGCAAGCAACTGACCCACTTCACACCCATGGCCACTTTTCGGCGACTGCCGCTGCTGGTGGCATAAATCTCAGCCAACGTGTCGTATGAGCGATGTCAAATGCAGGCCCACTGAGTGCGAAGTGGAGTCAGTCTCCTGCCGCTCTGCTGGCGCATCATTAATAATACTTTTTAGTTTGCAAATACGCATGTATGTGTGTCTGTGGGTGCCTTTCCTCCTTTTTCCGGCTAACAAATTGCCCGGCTCAGGGCACAACAAAACTGCAATTAATCAAGCAGACAAAAATGTGCCGCAAGTTCCAGGGCCAACTTGCCATATAAGAGCCAACCCAACATATGATTTTGTGGCCTGACTAATCAGTGATTGAGCGAGCATTCATTCGTTCATTTCTGGTCATCGAAGTCCTGGCCTGATTATGCGCAAACAAAAGAAAAAAAGGTCCAGGACTCAGCTAGAAAAAAGAGCGGGCCTAATATACGTATAAAATACGACCCAAGAAATGAAATAATTTGTTAGTCAGGGAAAACGGAGATAAGAGGTCCAGGAAGAAGATCTAAAAAGTGCCTGACAGCAAGGATTGCTCGCACCGCAACACTGCGAGAAAATGGGGGTTGCAACAATACAGAGATCAAGTGCTTAGACATGTTAGAGATGTGCACCCAAATAGCTGACATGAAATTGTTGCATTTTTTAAGCCAAGCAACTATTGCTCACCACTGATTTTGCTGAGTGCAAATCCCATATTAATGTGTGTTTGGTTGTGTGTGATGGCTTCGTTCGTCTGGCTGGGCAACAAGTGAAAATCCATTTGTTAGAGGAAATCGTGCAAAAAGCTTAAATACGAAGCTTAAACATAAGTAGCAACGAATGCCGCACACACACAAACACACAAGCACACACACGCACACACACCCTGAAATGTATGCGCACAAAGGTATATGTATATGCATATGTGAAGCAGGCCAAAAACTAAATGAAGCTGCCGCCGTTTTGCCATCTTTAAAGGGATACCCTAACTGTCAATCGGCACGTGGGACATTTTCAAACATTTGTCTGGGAAATATATCAAAATGTGTAATATGTCAAGCGGCTATCAAAGTTTACAGTATGTAAATGGTATTGACTGTTATAAAAACATGAATCAGATATCTTTATAACCATTGCGTTTGGACTTAAACGATTAATTTCCCGTCTATGATGTGTTGTAAACTGTTAAAAAAGTTGATGTGAAAACGATGGTACTATCGATATTATCGATGGAACATATCGATGATATTGCATGATATTATTCACTTTTTGGAAGAGCATCCTGTTATCCTGGTTGTGGGGATTAGAAGTCTCTTTCAACCTTTTTGTGCTCTCTCCTCCTTCTCCCCATTCTCCCACGTCGGCTTTTGTTGCTGTTTTTGTTGGGACCTCGTCTTAGCTTTTAACGTGTTTTACCGTTCGTTTCTTTTTGCGCATAAAATGAGCAGGTAACAGGCTTGTGGGTGTGTGTGTGTGTGAGTGTGTGCGTGCATGGTTGAACTCCCTTGGGTAAATTTTCGTATTTAAAATATATGACCAAGACATTTTCAAACATTATTTTTTAATTTTATTCTTTTTTCTCTTCCTTTTCCCTCGCCTCAGCCTGCTTGGCAAACTTTTTGCGCACTTTTGCTTGCCGCAAATCAATTTGCCAGGACGAGGAAGAAGTGGAGCGAAGTGGGGCTGAAAAGAAAGGAAGCGGAAAGGATTGCCGAGTAGACTTTGTTAGGGGAGTTCCCCGAATTTGTGCTGCATCCACCACGAGGCGAACGCCTTTTTTCCGGGGGCATTGAGTCGGCAGTGGAGCGTATGGAAATGCATTAAGTTCCGAGATGACTGCACGTTTTGGGATTTGCGAATGGGATTATCTTGGCACGAAAAGAGATCTTTATGCTTATAAATGCTGCTGCATATTTATGGCAGCTGAATAAGCCCAATAATGCTCGAAACCCCGTCAAGTGCTTTGTGGGCCAGAATTGTGGCCTAATTTAGCCGCTCGATGGAGTGTGCCACAATTTCCTTGGCAGACGGATAACTTTGTGCTTTTGCCAGGTGGCTTGGCATATTTTCTAAAAAGTTTCGATTGAAATTTATCGTAATTAAATTAGCTGTTGCTTACCAAACTTGATTTAATTCAGTTGGCATGCAAGCTGCAAATAAATGCCTAAATCATTTAGCGAAACATTTCCTTATCTTGTCGGCAAGTGTTATTCGCCACAATAGCTACAGTTAATTGCAGATAACATCGAAGTGTGCAGATAACATATTGGACAGCTATATAAATGTTCTGATAACTCGACATGAAATCGCAAATGTCAGTGGAAGTGACCGATAAAAGTGGATCAATGTGGATATGTAGTGGAGATGCAGAGCACTCACCAGCGTACCTAGCGAAACATTTACGACCAACACGTTTTAATAACAAAATGGCATAATTTTCTCATAGGAAAAGAATAGCATAGTGCCTATGGCATAAAAGAAAATCAAAGGAAACCCAGATACCCTAATTTACTAAAACTGACAACCCACCGCTGATTTATTTTGCCAATTGTGGTAATGGATGGTAAACATTTAATGGGCGCAAATAAAAATCAATGTTGTAGTACAAATCGAGGGAACTGATAAAGAAGTCTGTCATATAATATAGAAGGGTATGGGTTCGGTCGACAGGAGAGAACATCGGACTTGGATAGTCTGGGTTGCGGCGATAAGACTGCTGGCAAAATAGTTGGCCCAAGCCCAGCCAGTCCAATGTGCATCGCAGCGAACCCACTAATCACGCTCCCGGGTAGCGGACATGACTCCCGGAATAGAACAATGCCAGAACAACCCATAAAACCCCTTTAAAATTAGCGATTTAGCCGAGCTGGTGCTGGCAATCTGGCCATTTTCTTGCTTTTAATCATACTTTGATTGTTTGTGCCTTAATGGAGTTGGTGTACCTTACCTAAATGCTAAATTCCTCCTTTTATGGTTGTATCCATTTGGTATACTCTAATACCTAGTAGTTTCTTTGACTTGGGCACATCATTCAACCACTAGTATCTGAATTATTGGCAGCACTAGAAAGAGCGAACCATTCGATGTTCATAGAGCAGACCCCAAGATAAGATTAAGTAGTTCAGGGTACTATAAAAGCCTCGATGCCTGAAGCTGTGCCAGTCATTGGCGATTCTCAGGCTCCACGCGAAATGTCGAATACTTGGTGGAGGCTTTCAATAGTGCTACTAATCCTGGGGCTAATGCCTGGCATGAGTCAGCAGGTGGGGCTTCCATTTGGCAACTAGTGGATTGGTCTTGATGGCTATCGCAATTTTCAGGCGGCCCTGGCCGAATCCGATTACTATACGGCCGGCGTGGTGGAGTTCCAACAGTCGATCTTCAGCTTGTCGGCCTGGTCGGACTCCCTCGCGGGCTATGTGGAGATCATCAACTCTGAGAAGGCCAGTCCCACCGACATCATTGTGTTCCCCGAGAGCACCCTAAACTCCGCGGGCTCCACAACCTTTGTGCCCAATCCCGCGGATCAGATAAACCCCTGTTTGAGTGACCCCAATGCCATCTTATACGAGGAGTTCCTGGTGACCCTGTCGTGTGCGGCCCGCAATGCCAGCAAGTACATTGTGATCAATCTCACCGAGAAGCAGAAGTGCGAGGATGTGCCCGAGGATACGAGGCCCTGTGCCTCCAACGGACTGAACGTCTTCAACACCAATGTGGTGTTCGATCGCCAAGGAGTGGTGGTGTCCAGGTACCGAAAGGTGCATCTGTACGGCGAGCCCAAGAACAGCACTTTTCTCCCCGAACTGAGCACCTTCGAGACGGACTTTGGGGTCACATTCGGGCACTTCATCTGCTTCGACATCCTGTTCTACACTCCAGCCCATCAGCTCATCGTGGAGCAGGGTATCACGGACTTTGTGTATCCGACCATGTGGTTTTCACAACTGCCCTTCCTCACGGGTAAGACTTAGACATGGGCGATAAGGAAAGTGGGGGCTAGTTCATTGACATGTGTCTCTTATCGCCGCCAATGGATTGCTAATTGATGGCTCTCGCAACCTCTCGAATTGGAGTGCCTGGAACCGATTATGTGTGGGTATCAGGCTGTAAAGACTAAAATGTCGCAGGTGGCACGTGATTAGGCAGCTACTTACTAGAGACTGAATTAGTAAGTCAAAAAGTAAGCAAATAAGCCGCGCCTAATTTGCTTTGTAGAAGCTTTATCGTTTCACCTCTTACCACGCGAATTCTTCAGAACACCTAAATTAATCGAGAAAATGGGCAGATTCTTACGATTTTTAAATGTTTTTTGTTTCAACAGCTGTTCAGACGCAACAAGGTTGGGCCTATGCCAACGACGTGAATCTCCTGGCGGCTGGAGCCAGTCGTCCCTCCGTTGGAAATAGTGGATCGGGCATTTTTCACGGACGCTCCGGCACCTTGACCAGCGTTATGCGCCAGGACTCCGGCGAGAGGGCCATCTATGTGGCCCAGGTGCCCAAGTACACTCGCACTAGAGCCCAGCAGCAGCGTGTGAGGAGGAGCACGCGGGAGATCCAGCCCCGCCAGGTGGCCTCAAGCTCGAGTTACCACATGAAGCGTGATTACCTGGAGAACTACGAGTCTGAGCTGCTCCAGCTGGACGGGGGCGCCAGTGGAGCTATCAATAGAACAATCTGCCAGGGCAGCTTTTGCTGTAACTTCGACCTAGCCTGGAGATCCCTGGGCACGGCGTCGGAGAATGGTAGCTACTACAGCTATCGATTGGGTGCCTACGATGGCTGGCGCAACGAGTACAATGTGGATGCCAATTACATACGCAACTGCGCGCTGTTCACCTGTACTGGGGACTCCATCGATGATTGTGGCAAGCTACTGCCCACCGAGGGCGAGCTCCAGCAGTCCCGTGTGACCTTCACGCGCCTGGAGATCGGGGTCATCTATCCCGAGTCGCGGGAGTTCCTGCTGTTTCCCGACACCCTGCTGGACAGTCTGCTGCCCCTGGAGCCCAGCCAGTTTGACTGGTCCCAGCGGAAGCCCACGGCAGACAGGTGGGTTATCGAAGGGACGTAGTATTTGTAGGTCTTATATTATAATACGGGCTTTCCTTGTTCCTTAGCTATGTCCAGGAAGTGCGCTTTGCGCTGAAGGAGTCCCAGGAGCTGAGCAACCTGTTGACCTTTGGCATCTATGGAAATTACTACGACAACGCGTGCACTTTTGGTGTTGGCACCGCGGAGGAGCAGCTGGCCTGCGGCTACAGAAGCGGATCCGCCGGACTAGGAATCCTTGGCGGATGGCTCGCCATGCCGATGATTATCCTGGCTATTGCCAGGATAGGTTAATAGGATCAAAGTGTAAGTCCAAGCAACACGGATTTCCTAGGCATTTTATGCAAATACCTTAGGCTCCACATTGTGTTGGATGCTTCTTTTTTTTTTAGACCTTATGCTCGATGCTAACAGTATTTATGTTGTAACAACCTAATAAAAAATACTCTCGACTTGTTGATAATTATTTAAGCCTCTTGGATATGCAACACATTTTTGTACATTTAGTGAAGACGTGTGTTTCCCTTGTTTTAGATTATTAAATATTTATGAAATTCTTGGCTAGTTTTGGTGGCAATTTTCACTTGAGCAGATAGCAAAGTAGGGAAAGTTGGTAAAGTTGGTTAATGAAATAAATTCTGTATAGCAATGGACATATTACGATTTGGCTGCTTATAATTATCTAAATTAAAAAATCAAGGTTCGTATAAGCAGCCGACATAAAAAGCCGTAGTTGCTGCTCCAAAATCGTCAGTTATTCTTGAAAAAAGATTTCGAATCCACCGAACTCTAGAAAATAACTTGGATATGGACACTTCTTCTGCTGGGACTCGCTTTTTTCGAAGAAACATCTGACGTACATTGGTTTCTTTAACTTTAGGGGTTCAAGCATATTAACATATTTTACAGCAGGGAATTGGCGAAATGGCGAAATCAATGCAGCAGTGACGAAGAAACTGAAAAGTTTTTTGGATAACTTCCGGAAGAATAACACCGAGGTTCTCAACTGGATTCCAAGAATCCGTATGGCATTGAATAGTAATACCACCTGACTAGCGAATAAGTTCGAGTTTTGGCTTCGAGAGTTTGGAGCAACAGATTTTGGATCGCATTGAGGAGCTGGATAGCATTATTCCCCATCAAAAGCATTCAAAATTAACTGAAATTGAACTTCAAAAGAACTGAAAAAGGCTCTTAAGCAATCCAATTTCAAGAAAGTCGAAAACTTGTCCGTACTATCATTTTGATGCCAACAATTTCCCATATAATATATTATAATGATTCGAAACATCCTTTGATAGGTAAAATGTCGCAGAGCCACAAGGTATAAATAATCCCTTATACAAATCACAAATTGCTGATTATTCCTTTATCATAATTTCACATATTGGTGATTGAATACTTTTGGGCACATAAGGTGGGCGTTTACTTTATTTGAGGGAATCTGGGCATTGAAGATTTTGAAGTGCCAAAAAAATGTTTGTTTAGTATGAAACTGTATATTTTTCGCTTGGCACCAGCAGATCTCTGCTCTTTTAAACTATTAATTTATGTAAGATAGTATTTTGCACTTTAGCCTCAAAAAAGTCACGTGTCATCGGTGATAAGTGGATTACCTAGTTGATAACACCGGTCTATTAAATTGATATATACTTGTAGGCTTAATTTTAAGTGCAACTGACTAAGTTGCTACTTCAAATAATTCGATTTTCAAAGCATAAGTTTCTTTTGGTTTTTTTCTATATATATGCAAGCTATTTCTTAATTAGGAATTTCGTGCTTACATATTATTGAAACTCTTATTTACTTCATAAATAAGATTTTAGCATTTATTGTTGTGTTTTAGCTAGTTTGAGTGTCAAAATATGGAACCACTTAATCTTCGAAGTGCAGACAGCATTTGCTTTTGACATGTTTTTGGACAGATAAGATTATCACGTTTCTCTTGAAAGTTGCTATAAAAGCCGCAAAATTTAGAAAGTGGTAAGTCACTTGCCAATTCGAACTGGGCAAAGAGCATGGCGATGAATTATTGGGGGTTTTTCCTCTTTTGTTTAACCCTAGGCTTAATGCTGAATTTGAGTCAGCAGGTGGGTGAATGAATCTGAATCTATAATGCACTCACCCTTGGAATTTCGGGTTTCACTTTTCAAGAGAGATTTCTATACCGCTGGTGTGGTGGAGTTTAAGCCGTCCAATGTGTTGTCCGCTATTTGGATAAGCCACTAATAGCCACTGGCTATTTGGAGATAATCCACTCGCAGAATGCCACTTCTACGGACACTATTGTGTTCCCAGAGAGCACACTCAGCGACATGGGTGCCACGACCATTGTGCCCAGTCCCGAGGATCAGATAAACCCCTGTTTGAGTGACCAATGAGTGCACCAATGTGGTGTTCGATCGCCAAGGAGTCGTGGTGTCCAGGTACCGCAAGGTGCATCTGCACGGCGAGAACAGCCGGAACTGAGCACCTTCCAGACGGACTTTGGGGTCACATTCGGGCACTTCACCTGCTTCGACATCCTGTTCTGCACGCCTGCTCATCAACTGGTGGATCAGGGAGCCACCGACTTTGTCTACCCGGCCATGTGGTTCTGCCAACTGCCCTTCCTCACAGGTAAGTCGAGAAATGGGTGAAAAGTGGGTCAGTTCACTGACTTGGACCTATTAACTGGGTCGAGTGATTGCTAATTGATGGCTCTCACGAAACCCTTGAGATGAAGTGTCCTTCATGCGGAATGTTCAAGTGGTTAATGCTTGCAATCTGCTCTTGGAATATTTAAACCTGTGGCCAATTCAATGGTGATAATTTGCACTTAATAGTTGATGGTATTTTCTCTTCAAAAGCGTTTCAGGTCCAGCTGGGTTGGTCCTATGCCAACGATTTCAAATTGTTGGCTGCTGGAGCAAGTGATCCCACGGATGAAGCGGGATGTCACCCGTCAAGTGGCCACCAGTTCAAGTTTCCACATCAAACGGGATTATCTGGAGAACTTTACCAGCGAGGAGGTGAAAATCGACGCTGGAAGAGCCGGTAATCTTAGCCAGATTCTGTGTCACGGTAGCTTCTGTTGTCACTTCGATCTGGCCTGGAGATCCTTGAGGAATCCGGCGACTAGTAACACCAGTCACTACAGCTATCGAGTGGGCATAATGACCAGAGGTTGGATGTCAACTATATGTTATGGCATTCCATAGATGATTGTGGTCAGCTGCTGCCTGACCTTCAGAGGCCGCTGGTGACCTTCACCCATCTGGAGATTGGGGTCACATATCCGCAGTCACGGGAATTCCTCTGTTTCCCGATACCCTGCTCGATAATCTCCTGCCTCTGGAGCCCAATCAGTTTGAATGGTCACAACCACAGATCTCCGAAGAGAGGTGAGTCAAGATCTACGAAAAATAGAAACCATCTAATTATATATTCTTTATAGCCAAGCACCTCTTGACCTTTGGCATTTACGGTAATTACTACAATAATGAGTGCACTTCGAAGATATAAAAGATACATTATAAATGGTAGAATAATTATACTTTGGAGGTATCTTCTGAGCTTGTAGATATTTTCAAATAGAGCCCGAAATTCTACTTTAGTTCCTAAAAATCCTATGCACGCACAAATCTGCTGACTTGGCCAGACTGATTACCGATCCAAGCGATTAGATAGTAAATCAGGCGAGACCTGATATGCCGTGGGAAATCTAAATCTAAATATAAATATAAATATACATATATGTATATATGAATGTGTGTATACAAAGCTAGTATGAAAGGTGAAAAAACCGGTTGGGATTAGTCGGCTTGCGATCGTTGAGCTAAAACCACCATGGCTGCATTCCTCCGCCGTGGATTTCTCTGGCTGCTCAGTGTTACTTTGCTTTTGGCTGATGTGGATTCCACTGAGAATACATTTTATACGGCTGGGGTAGTGGAATATCGACCGACGATTATGGGCAGCAGTTCAGATCAGCTATTGGAGGCGAATCTGGCTGGTTATCTGGAAATCATGGCTTCTGGCAACGGCACCACGGACATCATAGTCTTTCCGGAGGCCACTCTGAATAGTGTGGTTACCCTGACTGCGGTGCCAGAATGGACGAAAGAAAGTTTGTGTGAAGAGCAGGTTGGCGATGATCCGGAGATAGCGCCTTTCCTGAGATCTTTGGCCTGTGCTGCCAGGGAATATAGCACCTATCTGGTGGTCAATGTCAAGGAGCGGGTTCCGGAGCAATGTACTTCGGATGAGACATGTTCCAGTCGCGGCTATTCGATACACAACACGAATGTTGTGTTTGACAGACAAGGAGCGGTGATATCGCGCTATAGGAAGTGGAATCTCTACTTAGAACCATCCACCAATCGGACCGAATCCCCCGAAATGGCCACCTTTACAACGGATTTCAATGTGACCTTCGGTCACTTCATCTGCTTCGATATGCTCTTCTACACGCCGGCTCAGGATTTGGTGGAGCAACTGGGCATCCGCCATGTGATTGTCACCAAAATGTTCAACTCAGAGCTGCCTTTCCTCACAGGTAATCAAGGACAATAATTGATTAACGAATACAATTATATTAATCGCCTTCGTGGCAGCCTCCCAATTCCAGCAGGGATGGGCGTGGGCCAATCGGGTGAACCTCCTGGCCTCCGGAGGAAGTCTTCCGCAGGGTGGAATAAGTGGCAGTGGAATTTACGCTGGTCAACAGGGCGCTCTGGCGCGACTCATGATCACGGATGCACTGGAGGGCGAGAGGAAGTTGCTTTTGGCCAGAGTTCCCCTCAATCCTGAGGAGCCGATAGCCACGGATGAGATTCTGGAACCGGAAAGGACGACTCCGGTGAAACTAAAACTCCTGCAGCAACCGGAACTAAGTAACTTTGCCACCTGGGAGTTGCCCATGGTGCGGGGTAGTTCGGTGGACAAGAGGATATGCCAGGAGGACTTGTGCTGCCAGTTCCGGGTCACTTGGACCCCGATGGAGGCCCAACAGGAATATAACTACAGATTGGGTGTTTGGGTTGGCCAGCGGCGGTACGAGGAGGAGCAGTACAGTGCCATCCGGCTGTGCGGTCTGTTCGCCTGCAGAGGCTCCACTGTGGAGAGTTGCGGCCTGGTCAGCGAGGAACAGGAGCACCTGCAGGGGCACCGAGTGGTGTTCACCCAGCTGGAGATCCTTGGGGAGTTTGTCCGCAGACCTCGACGTCTTTTAATGCCCAGCACTCTCAGCTCCTCCAGTCTGTATGCTCTGCAACCATCCCAATTAGCGTGGTCCATGGAGGAATTGGACAGTGTAACGCGGATTAAGATGGAGCTGCGCCAGCCTCACAGCCAGCTAATGACCTTCGCCATATATGGCAACTATTTCGATGAGTATGCGAGTGGTGGTGCTGGAAGATTGGGAGCCCTGCTGTTTCTCCTAATCACGCCGCTAATTATGAGTTATCTATTTCGGGAGTAGGTCGATCCGCGCCACAGCTCATTTCTACTTGTTTTGTTAACTATTTGTATGCTAGTCTATGTTTCAAATTAAGAGATTCCCCTTTTCCCCTAATTTTTTAGAAACATTTGAAAATATTATTAAACATGAATCCAAATGGGGGAAAACTAACAAATAAAATGATTCAGAAATGCGTAATTTTCGTTGAGCACTTCAGAACTATTTAAATTAAACAAGTCTATTATTTGCCAGTCGTTTTTCGCAAATTCGCTTTAATGTTCGTTCATAAATCAAAGAGAGATGCATAAAAATGTTGATTTATTCGCGAGCCTGTCAAAACGATTAGGTTCGTTTTGTCGCCTGTGCAACTCATTAAAATCAATGCGTACATGCATAAGTGTGAGTGAGTGTGCTCGTGTGTGTGCGTGTGTGTGTGCGTGAGTATATGTGTGTGGTGTGTTGCATTTGCTGCGGGCTGCACTTTATATTTGCCATTGTTTGTGTAGTTGCCCTTAAGCTGGCACATTGTAATTAAGTGTCGCTCAAACAGAAGCACACTGCCAAAAAATCCGGTATTTTACGGTATGAAAGTACATAATAAATATGTGGAAATATTTTCATTACCTTAAGGCGCCATGTGGCCAATTGCAATTCAGATAATAATTGCGATGCAAATATATGATACGCTATGATACATGTAAATGCTTTTGATATTAGTAGATATACATACCCACAACTATTATTCATGAAATATAGATGCTTTATAAAATAAATATGCTGAAAGTATTTGCCCAATCTATTTTCTTCTGTTTAGAAATATAAAAAGTTTCTAACATTTTTAGTTTATTTCATGAACTAACTAGCCGTTTACAAACAAAGTGCTGCGTAATTTTGCCCACTTTTTTCCAGTGCATTGGACCGCATCACGTTGTCTATTTGGCTGCCTACTTTATGGAAATGGAGGTATCGGCAATGAAATGGTGTCAAGTTCATGTCATTAAGGTGTGATTAACAAAAATTAGTAGCTGCTTAACGGGACCAAGAGCAATCCACCCCGAAAATCTCCCCTCAACTAACCAAAACCAAAAACAAAGAGCAAAAAAAAGAAGAAAAACAGACGTCTCAGCGAGAGCAACAGTGTGTTGGCTGGAAAGAGCAACAGCTAACGGAAAGGCGACCTCCACCCACCCACTGGGAAGCCACCCGCCACCCACCACCACCCACTGAATTCAGCAGGTGAAGCAGGCGAAGCAACACATGAAGCTGGCTTCGCTGTACGCGTCGCTGCCAGCGTCGCTGTCGGCGGCGACGTCGAGGAACGAACAGCGTCGAAAGTTTTCATTCATTTCAACTGTTGCTTTCCACTTGTTAGCGCACGAGGCCGACTGGAAGGCGAAGGGAAGTCCGACTGGAAGGGCAGCAGCCTCAGCAGCGTCACGCTCTCCGTGGAAAGTCTCCACTGAGAACACCTGAGCACAGTGCGCATTCTGACTAAATTAAATTACCAACAAAAGAGCACACTATAATTAGAATCAAATAAAAGGACTAATGATTTCCGCAGAAATAGAGTGCATATTTTTGTATATTTTCTCTCATTTTGGTCGAAAATGTTCATTACTATATGTATGTTCGTAAAATTAGTTTGGTAAATTCAGTATTGCAGTGGGTAGAAATTATTTGATTTGAATTAAAAGTTGAATATTTTAGTTCCAAGTTTTACTTTTCCATCCCACAGTGCGGAGTGCGTGAGCGAGGACGTGTAGAGTTTGCGGATGGCGGCGTGTAGACTGCGTTATATTTGCCTTGAATTATTCAGGCAGATATGTTTTATAGATCAGGGCAAAGGCGCTGCGCTTTTGGACGGCCGCGCTGGAGAAAATGCAATTAACGGAAAAGACTAACGGGGATACAATTTCTAGAAACGCAGTTAGTCAGCGGGCGATCGTGGAGTTATTTAGTCAGAGCGAAGTTTAATTTAATGGGGTATAATTCTTTTGGTCTCCTTAAATAAGTGTTTTAAACTAAACAAGTCCAATATTCTCTTAGCTTGCACTGCTCTTAAGTCTCCGACGCGTGCGCATTATTAAGTCAATTATTTAGCCCAACAGAATTATTTAAATATGGCATATTTATATGCTGTAATAGGCTCATTGCTAATTAATGCAAAAATTTGGTAAATAAAAAGCATAGCTCAAAAACTGCGACTAAAAAATGCTAATATAATTTTGAAATGATTCCACTGATTTGATTTTGATTTGATTTGTGATTATAACATATTGGTAATTGCTTTTGTTAATTTCATTATTTTTAAACGTTGGCGTGCTTAAAACTGTAGCTTCAGCGAAGCTAGATTGGCGAAATCTCCCCTGGGCTTCCGAGTCCAGTCCGGTGTATCGGTCGTGTCCGTTCGTGTTCCGTCGTGTTCGTGCACGTCGCTGTCAGCGACGTCGCTGCTGCTCTGCCGACTGCGCCGCCGACGCGTTGCGTGCTTTGGCAAACGTAACGGCACATTCTGCGGAAGCTTTCGGCGCGTGCAACATCCAAACATCCAGTAGGCGTTCAGCCTCCGAGCGGATAACACTGCGTTGTTGTAGTTCTTGGAGTCCCAGCGATACGATACACACACCACCCACTAAAAACACACACACACCCAGTAAATAAAACACCAGAGGAGCAGTCACACCAAAATCAACACTTAATACCGTTGGCATTCATATTTTCAAATAAATAATTAAATAATACATAATTAGTGCGTGGCAAACAGAAAACCAAAGACAGATTTCGAATTTTTTTAAAACGTTTTTTTAAGTTCCCAAAAGTTCTGAACTCTTGAAGAAAACAAAAAAGTGATTGACGATAAAGCTAACAGAGCGATCTTTTGAAAATCTTCTAGAATACTGAATGCATACGGAAAGAAACGCCGTTTTTTATATTTTAAGTTAACATTCAACAAATAAATAAAAAAAAGTGATTTTTTTTTGGTATTTGTGCGCTAATCGTTTTAAACTTTTTGATCTTTTTTCTAATGAAATTTACTTTATTACCATAAAGTGCTTCTTAAATTTTTGAATACCCGAAAATTAGCTTGTAAATAAATAACAACTTTTCGATGCGGTTTTTCAATATTCCCATTTTCATTTTTATGATTGCTTCTCAATAAATAAATAATAAACGAGCGTGAATGATTGCCTTACATTTTGCTCGGATGTAATTTATATTCAGATTTTCTCGTTTTTTTTCGAAAGAGTTCTGGTGTTCGGAATGTGTTTTTTCATCGTTACCCCGAGGTATTTTGGCATCGAACGCCGACGGGCGATTTACAGCAACAACAATCAACAATCGCGGACTTCCTGGGCGCGCAACTTTTGTTTTGAAATTCTATATAGTTCGATATATGTATATATATATATATATATATATGCCGATCTCTATCGCACACGCACACACATGCTCCCTCACACCCCATTAAAAAGAAACCCAATGTTTGTTGTTTTTTTTCGGTTATTGTTGTGACTTTGGCAGAGACACCAGATAAAAGACAACATCAAGCTGAATGCGAATCGAAAATTCGACAAGAATATTCAAACCCGAAATTGAAATTGAAACAAAGCGAAAAGTTTTCGGAAAGCAAAGCGGAAAAGGAGAAAATCCAAGGTAAACAACAACCACCAAGTAAAAAGGCCTTCGCAGCGGTAAAAGGTGAGTGAAATTGCCAATGGAACTTGTTTTCTAAGAATATCGTGCAGGTGGTGTTTTTATTTCTTAAAGTACATTCTGCGGGAATGTGCTTTAATTGTTTCATAATTAATAACCAATAAGGACCAAGTTTGTATTTTACATTACCAACTCGGTGTCGGATTTAACAAGTACCAGTAGATAGGCACATTTAAATACAGGCTGCTTGTATTTTTAAAGTGTTAATGGAATGTTGATAGAGCCTTAACGAAAAAGTCATGTTGGAAAAGATAAAAATCGAAACAGGCAGAGGATAAATCACAGAGTTGCGACTCGTTGCTGAGATATTTTCAAGCACTGCCCCTTGGGACTTACACTTTTCATCGGCCCTTTAATATTTTCCTTTGGCTTTTGTTTGTCCGATGCTTTCTTAATGGCTTTCCTCGGTCTTTGTGTGCCATCGAACACTGTTTACAATTCGATTTTGCATTCTTCTGCCATTCCCATTTCTCAATCACTGCTTGCTCTTGCCCAATTTTTTTCGGAACTTGTCCTCGCATTAATTGTTCCTTGATGTTTGTTCTTCCATTCTCCAATTGATTCCTTTTTTACTTGGTCATTTCCTGTGATTTTGTAATTAAATGGAAGCGGAGCTTTCTCGGGGCAACACTTTTTCTCTTCGTGTACTTTAAATTTCCATTGACTGCGTGGCGAATCAAAGTTGCCAACTGTGCTTATGATTAATATCCTAAGAAATGTGCCAGATTGTTGAGCGAATTATCAAAAGAAAATGTTTTTGAAGGCGAGATGAGGTGAGGCTGACGCACTGGGTGTATGGGGTTATTGGAAATGTTTTTTCCTTAATTATTGGCCAAACGGCATTAAATTTTCAAGTATTTACTAAAGCTTAACAAAACACAAACAAAGGCGAACACATTTTCCCTGATTTTCCTCGGTTTTTCACTAAATAAACGGGCCAACTGAATATGTGTGTGTGTGTGTATCTTTGGCTGTACATAAGATTATCGAGTACTGGAGGCATTTGGATATTGGCAGCTGTTCGATCTGTATCTGTATCAATAAAATGCCCTCTCTCTTTCCCTCGATTTATTCTCTTAGATTTTCCCATTATTTACTTGTCCGGATTTTGCTAAATGAATTGATTATAAAGCCCATTGGGGGGTTGGCACATGTCTACACGCATATTTTTATGCACATACGTGTATGTATATAAACAATTAGCAAACTGTTTTTGATTGTTTTCAAGATATGGTGCGGGGGGTGGTGGAGTTTTTCTATGTGGTTTTTCTTAGATTTTTCCTGTTCTTTTAGTAAATTGAATTAACGCAAGTTGTAATTGTGAATGTAAATGTAATGCGCGAACAGCTAGCGATATCTAAAAAGCAAAGCTACATACATATATGTGTGGACACACACACACGCATGCACATATGTACCTGCATGTATGTATATGTGGCTATATAGAAAATCCGGACGGACAGACGGACAGCCCGACGGACATGTAAACAGAGGCAAGCCAAAGGTAACAAATGGCTTTTCAAATAAATTAGCGGGCGGCAATTGTAAACAGAGACAGACAGAGAAAGAGCAGTCCATATATCTATAAGGAGCGAAAGAGAGAGTGAGAGAGAGAGAGACAGGGACACAAAGAGGGAAAGAGAGCGCTGGCGAATACTAGAAAGAGAGGCAAACACACTGGACACGGTCAAATGGTGATGGAATTTGCGACCAGCAGCAGCGGGTTGCCCGAATAATTACTGCATTTCGCACAGCCCGATGAATCGAAAATAGTTTTAATTGATATCAGGCAAATATTGAAATCACTCACTCGTTGCCATTCATGTTCAGAAATTATTTTGCCATTCAATTAAGGGAGATGCATACATAAAACTTCTTTTTAATTTAATAACTATATATTCATAGCCTATGTGGTTAATATTGAATCAATCTGAATTCCCAAAGTAAGAACCTCATTATAAGGCTTAAATAAAGGCAAATCCTAAGATGAAATTGGAATGCCCATTGGTGATGCTGCTTCTTCAGATGGATATCAAATTCAAAAGTCCAAATCAAAGTCTCTGGATTTCTCTTTCCGTTCAAAGGATAAACATTATCCCATTTAGGGGACGCCATTGCTTTGGCGACCCTCGTAAAAAGGGATTGAGAACTTGGGTAGGGGCATTGCCAATGGATGGGATGGCAGCAGATTTAACCGGTTGTGAGCGGTTTTAGAAATTTTCGTTTTTGGAAACTATCCGCACCGCACTCACCCGAGTATTTGCATTAAGCGTCCATCGACGGCGGGCAGCGTTCATTAATTATACAATTACATCTAGCGGTGGCCATTTAAGGGGTGGCAGGGGTATAGCAGGGGGGCTTGGGGCGAGTGGGCGGTGGGCGGTGGGTGGTGGCCGGTGGGTGGTGCATAGACAGACCATTCCGCGTTGCACATGGCTTACGGGGAGCACTCAGCTCATTCAACTGCAAAGCAATTCGCGGAAAACCCAACTGAGTGTGTGCGTGTATAGGTAGTACGTAGTACTACTACTGCTGCTGCATTAGTGTGTGTGTGTGTGGGTGTGTGTGTTGGAGTGCTCTTCTTCTTGCCACTCTTCTTTTGTGCTGTTTGCTTTGCCCCGCGTTTGATATGCAAAATTCAGAATGTTTACCTTGAAATATGCCATGTCACTTTGCAAGCGATGCGAGTTGAATACTCGATGGAGCACAGCCAGAAAGAGAAAGAGCATAACAGAGAGAGATGGAGCGAGGGGGGAGGGGAGAGACGTTGCAAAATATCCATGTACATTGTGCATTGTACATTATGCTGCCTGACAGGTAAACTGCAAGAAAAATCAAAAAAAAAAAATCAACTTTGAAAACGATCTTTGATATTATACAAAAGTCTACGGTTTCAACGTTGACAAAGTGAAAAGATACATAAGGTTTCTGTCCATTATCATAATTCAAAGAATAGAATTTCGTGTTTCATACATTTTTCTAGATATGTAGGTCTTTTGAAGCGTATTTTCCTCAGAGATCCTTCTTTGATATTATGTAGAAAATATGACTACATTTTCTTTCCGTGTGCGAATTGCAAGGGCAGATTAACTTTCATGAGCTTCAGTCGAACGGTCAGCGGTTAATGAGAAAAGGAGGCGTGGTTTGGGCAGGGGGGGCGTGGCAGGTCGGAAAGGCAGCCACATAGCCGCATTTGATGAGCTTCTCCGTCCGGAGTTCCACAGTTTCCGAGCTCCCGAGCTGTGGAGTTTGAAGGTGAGAGGTCACCAGAGTTGCAAGAGCAAATAGGGAGCGGATGGCAGTTGCTCACTCACTACCAGATATGGCCAGAAATTGGCCAGACTTGCCGTTTGTTCATCCGTTAGCAGTGTTTTCCCTTTTCTGGGCCACCTCTTACCTGTCATTTAGCCCAGTTTGTCCCAGAGATCAGCTTTTGTGCTACGCGGTCGTTGCAGTCGGAATTCCTGGGACTTTACTCACGGAATATTTGCTTTACAGGCACTCCGGACGAGTCCTTTCAAGTGGCTAAAGTCTGAATAAAAAGTGAGAAAGGGGAGAGGTACAGCTTGTGTACTTAAATTTTGAATAATTCAACTGACTTGAAATGTATCCCCAATGAAAGGTATCACCAATAGGCTTAAATTCATTTTTATGTACATAGACATTTTGCATTCGGAACTCTGTAAATTATTTCACATGACATAATTAATTATTAGCGAGTATTTATTGAATCGTAAATTAAAATGGCAACACACAAAATCGTCGTTTAATGAGGAATGTTTATTTGTATTTTATAGGAAAAAGTTATAAACTTAGGCTGCAGAATGATTTTCGCCATAGCTGCTGGGGCTTTAAGTTACAAATTATTTGCAATATATTTGCAGATATAAAATTACCAATTATGTGTTCACAGAAATAGTTAACTATACAAAGAAGAAAGGTTTACTGAAGATGAATTAGTTGGGATTTTTTCTGAAATTTAAGTAAATGTTTCATTATTTCCAGCAATGATCAACCAACTCTGGCTCGTGTTATTTGCTCTGAAATGTTATTAATTTCTCTGTTTAATATTTGCTTGTACTCAACCTCGAATTCCGTATATTAATTAGACCTAACCGTATTTGCATAGCTTCTTATTGTTCGAAACTAGATGCTGCATTGGGCCAAAATCACCTGCAGCTGTTTGGGATTGCAACTCTAGATATTCGCAAGTGAAGCATTGGTATTCATTTCAGCCACATGCCACGCCCCCAACGCCTACAGCTCGCCCCGTACCGGCACTTAACCTTCGACCTGCTTGCAATCGCAGGACTTCAGGCCAGACACATGTACATTCCTATGTACACCTGCCATTTTGGTTCAACTCCATTTCCGCACAACAACGGCAACTTGTGTGGGGCAAATTCAATATGGCAGCAGCGTTTCCGGCTTCAAGTTGCAACATGCAGCTGGACTTTTGTCATTGCATTTTCTCTTCCTCCTCTCCCTGAAATTACTACATGCAATTACGTTTTCTGTTTATTTGCGGCTTCATCTCCGAGTGAACTTTTCTCCCACTTTCCTTGCGGGAAAAAGCGACGGCGCTGAGTGGGCGCAAAATTTGAAGGCGGGAAAGGGGGCGGGGCGGTGGCAGAAAGAGAAGGGCCTTAAAGGAGCTGCGGAGGCGCGCGTTTTGCTAACCGCGAATACATTTTAATTAGCAGCTAAAATATTCAAACTGAAAATTGCCCTTTGCCTGGAGGGCAACAAAGCGCCCAAAACTCCCATTCACCCAGCCCTAAACCCGCTCCTTCTAAGCACCCAAAACAGCTCAGCCACCCAGTCATCCAGCCACCCAACCCCACTCACCTGTGCCTGTGTTTGTTTTTGTGTGAGCACCCAGCTCCAAAAGTTTTCCAGCCTCAGCAGCAACAGCTTCACTACACAGCGAAAAATGCCAGTGTTCTTGGTCAGCACTTAAATAATAAATGAAGGACAAAATATTT